TTGTTAATAACAAATTTCTGATCCAAGTAAATCATTAATGTCTCCTTGTTATTTTTTGCTTCTACGGTCTTGTATCTCCCGCATTTGATTTATAACAATATGATCTTGAAAAATCATAGGTATAAGATTTTCTCCTTTTATTGCCTTTAGTATATAGGCATAAGATGTTCAATGCCGAAGAGGTTAGGCCAATATATGTAAGAAAATATATGATAATCCCGTGGTCCAGAATCCAACCATTAACTTCACTTTAGCATTTCTTACTATATTCAACCGAATATTACATAGTTTTATGTCGAATAAGAGACTATTTTAATAAATGAGGAGCATTTCAAGGAATAATGGTGCTGCGTGTAATTGGCTCATTTTTATTTTGGTTGAAAATTGGCTCATTAATTCAAGGGAAACATTTTAATAAGAAAAATATTAATTTCTCTTTAAAAACTAGTGTAAAGAATCATTTCAACCCAAAACCTTAAGGTGTTGGGTGAATATCTTCTTAGTTTTGAATGATTTATATTATTCTCTTATACACCCCCTCATGCAAAAAGGCTTTAGGCTTGAAGCGTGAACAAGTCCAATTTTTGTTTTACCTTGTCTTATTTTAATTCCAATAGAAAATGGAAGACAGTGAAGATCGAACCTTGTGGTCATTGAAGCTCTGATAGTAAAGAATCACTTCAACCAAAAACCTTAAGATATTTGGTGAAAAACATTTTTAATGGTTTATGTTATTCTCTAACAACTAACTTAATAACTTTTCAATTAAAGAATAATGATTAATGTTAATTACTATCTTATCGAAACTTTATCATGTGAATTGATTAAAGTATAGAGCTAAGAGCAATTAATATATCAAAATGAGAAAGTAATTACGCAATCAGAGAGTAATGCAGTCGTCACTGAGACAAACATTACGCAAAACATATACTAATTAATCACTTAGACTGATTGTCATTGAAGACCGACAATAGTAATTAATTAAACAAAAAGATGAGCTTTCAGTGCTATTAGCTTTTTTAGTGTTTTTGTGACTTGGTGCAACCTCGTCTGGTCTTGTGCACGCTTGAGAAGGGTTATCATTTTCTCAACACGTTGAAAGAGTAGATAGCATTTGATTAGAGTTCGGACCGAATGGTCCAAAATTTCAACAGCGTAATCCTTAGTGTGAAGACGGAAATTGCAAGAGATAGCATTCATGAAAACAAGGAACTTTGCAGCTCAAATATGGCTACGTATTTTACTTAGAAATTTGGATATGAAGATTTGGAAGAAAAATATAAAGAGCGAAAAACTTGAAGTAGGAGTTAAATCAAATGTAAAATACTTGAACAATCAGTAATTCCCATATCAAATAAAGGTAATAAGGAGCTGATATTAATTAAATTCTTGTGGAAGATGAAGAGCTGTATTCCATTTAATTATTTTGAAGTTCAAAGTTCAAGCCTAAGTTAAATCCAATGAATGAACTATGAAGTGTATGCCAAAGCCTAATATCCAATTTCATTGGTGGACTTGGAGAAGAGAGTGACCAGTGTTGGGTTAGACAGACGGCTTACCTAGAATCAGATATTCAATGGACTAGCATGATATGAGACAGGCTCAAAACTGATGGTTCATGTGAAAATTCGTTTCTACGCAAAGTTGGTGAACCTTTTGTGTTGTGTTGAACACTTACTAGTTGACGAATCATGTTCCCCTGCAAAAACCAACTTGAGACTACCGAGTTGGGAGGAGGGAAGCTTTTACAACTTGGGCCTGAAACTTGATCCGGCCCGGACCAACCCACTAGTATTGATTTTAATGCCAAATGCAATAAGTTATTTCATTATTCAAAGGGAGAAAACGTTAGCAAAATGCTATTTTTGAGAATGGATTTTCTAATGTGAAATTTAATATTATTAAATCGAATGAAATGATTTCAATTATTTGTCAACAAGTAAAAGGTGATGATAGATAAAAGAGAAAAAATATTGGATTAATATTGTCTCATCGTATAACATGATTATATTAAATCATATATGAGAAAATTAATTCCCTAAACAATGTGATTCTTTTGTGTTCAACCGTGATTTATTCCTATATTTACAAGAACATTAAAATATATGAAAAAATATATGTTTTTAGAAAATCTATAAATCTCCCACCTATAATCTATTCTACTTAAAGAAAAAGCTAAAAAATTTACTTTTTGTCTTATCCGATGGATAAAGATATTTAGTCAAAGACTAATGGATTGATTTTGGATTTATGTGCTCTCTCAGACGTCTACGAAGAAGATATCTTTGAGGGTAACAAATCACTGTGAACGATAAAAAATGAATGACGTAGCCAAAAGAATGATATGTGTGCATAATAACAGAAAATAAATAGAGTAAATGTCATACATATAGACTTTACTTCTTATTTATAAAGTTTATGTACAGGTAGTAAAATTTTGGACCTTTAGTAACTTTATGGGATCCCAATATTTGGTCCATTACTGTCACACAAAGATGATTAGCTTCTAAAGTAAAATAGTGTGCTTGGACTGTTATAAAAAGAAAGCTCAAGGAAGAATGGCAACATGATCCATGGTGTTACATACCAAGTATTGGATAAACTACTCAATCATGTCTTCATATATTGAGTACATGCAATTTTCTAATTCGTTGAATTCTCAAAAACATAAAACAACGATTACAAGCAATTTTTCTTGTAAAGTAACGCAAAAGAAGGGTGTTGTATAGGGCCTTCGACATCAAAATCCAAACGGCCATCATCAGACACACGAATATTTAACACCCCAGAAAGCCCAATATCTATTCTATTGAAAATATTTTAGGCATTTCATCAAGGGATTTGTATTTGTTATTTAACATGACATAATAAAATTTTCTACACACACAACATTTTATGGGATTCACACTTTTTGAAGAAAAAAAGAAATTACGGCACACAAAACGAATCTCTATAATATTACACAATCACTTTTCCTAGAACATAACTCTTATAAAACCGTTTCATCAATACCCACATTGCCTATAATGTAATGAAACTTTCGGGGGGGCGTTTTATTGGCGAAATGGTAGGAAAGTCAGTTTGATGAAAAAGATGTTTGGTTGATCAAAATATTATCGAGAAAATTTATTTAAATTTGCAAAGTCTATGTTCAGGAGGAACTTCACATTGTTTTTCTACTTCCTAAGTTATCTCAAAATACTACATCTCATGTGGTATTTTGTAACAGTGAATTTCACCCAAAAATCAACACAAAAGTCGTTTCTCAGCCATCCTATTTGCCTAGTATTTTTTTTAAAAACTTGAACCAAACATGATATTTTTGAACACTCACCGACACTTCCCCATCAAATCTAAAATAAAACGTCTACCAAACATAGCCTTAGCCATTTCATCGAATACTTATATTGCAGAACAAATGCACACAAAGCCTGCAAACAAATACTGTCATTATAGAACCATTATATAGAACTTGATATACTAGAAAACCAACACAAGAACAAAATGCTTTCTTAAAAAGGAAAAAATGTGTATCATTTTAAAGGATGTAAAGTTGTATCATTTTAAGTAAGAGAAAGAAATAGATAAAGGAAAAGAAAGAGTGGACAAAAAAATATAAAGTTGTGGATCTCACTTTTTTGTGAGAGTGAAAGAATGTAAGTTGTGTCATTTAAAAGAACAAATATTTTTTCCTCTTAAAAAAGTAAAGAAAAGTAAGATAAGAATAAAAAAAGTAAAAAGTTTGCAGATGAATAAGGGTTCCTTGCCCTAAATCGAGTGTTTGAGAGATTTACGGTGAATAATTTGGAGAAGTGGTTCCTGCAAGTGATTCCTCCTTATTTATGAGCAAGTGATTCCTACTTATTTAAACCATCCTCCCATCTAATTAATCCAGAATTTTGAATTTTCTAAAAAAAAGTAGTGGTACAATGGAAAATGCTTGAAGTGTGAAAGAAAAAAAAGTATAAATTAAGAGAAATATTTGTGGCCCTTGGGCCAACTCCAACCTAGCCCTCAAAATGAGAGGGCTTCAATGAGTTAGGACAGAAATAGCCCTATAACATAAAGGGCTAAATTTAATAAAGCTTCTTATGAGGTCTAATGGCTAGCCCTAGGGTTAAAGGGTTTTTTGACAGCTCCAATCTTTCTTTTTCTCTTTCTGTTATTTTTCTTGGGCCTTCTGAAAATATGGATTTTTGACATGAGACCATAACACTTCTCTTAAAAATAATTATACTCATCAGTCATCACGTATGATTGGTTTTGTGAGACTGAAAAATTATGCCACTGTAGAATCCCATTTCGCTATTATTCTAATGCTATTATTGACTTATTCTCTCTTATTTTATTTTTATTTTTTTGGACAGATTTATTCTCCTTGTAAGTTTTAATGTTTTATTAATTATTCAATGTGTACTTAACAAGTATAATATCTATTAAACTTTTACTAAATGTATAGATGTTTCACTTGTTTTCAATGTAAGATTTTAAAACAGCAAGCAACATTACGATTATATTAACATGATTTCATAATATATAAACTTGATGATTATTATTTAATTTTTTACTACTAATTTTTTATCTTATAAAATATATGATATAGTCTGATTTATTATTTAAAATATTATGCATTATATATATATATATATATATATATATATATATATATATATATCATTATGGGGACAAGATGAATTTAAATCCGTGTAAAAATAAAAAATTGAACATTCATTTCTTACTCGTTGATTTATTTGTATTAAATAATTCATATAATTAATAAATTAAAATTATTAAATAGGAGTGAAATTAACAATTAAGATCGAGAATATAAGTTAAATGAAATTATTAAATATGAGTGTAATTACACTGACCTCTCCCTTGATATATAGATGGAAAAAAAAAAAAGATAAATGCAATTGTATAACAGACTACTAATGAATGGAAATACATTAATAATGAAAAAGAATTATTAACTCGATATAGGCGGGGGTTTCTGAAGGCTAAACGCCGCTTTCATAATTAAACAGCAAAAAAGTCCAAAAGAACAGCATGAAGGAAAGCCCAGTGAACCTGACTCTCTCTTCACCTCCTTCGTCACCTCCTGGTGTTGCTGCAAAAGGGTAAAAATATAGCATTATCAGGGGGGAAGTGAACCTGCTGATTGTCCACACTCAAATTATCTGCGGGTGAGTATATTTTGTGTTAAACTACATATGAGCTTGTTTTGTTTTAGAGGGCGTTTGGTTGAGGAGAAATTTTTTGAATACTAGGAAAATGTAATTATTAGAAAAATGGTTGGAAAGTGAGTTTGATAGGAAAATGTAAAGAAAGTTGTTTGGTTGATCAAAATATTACCAGAAAAATTTATTTAAATTTGCAAAATCTATGTTCGAGAGAAACTTCGCACTTGTTTTTTCATTTCTCCAGTTAACTCAAAATACCACATCTCAAGTGGCATTCTGTAAAAGTGAATTTCATCCAAAAATCAACACAAAAGTCATTTCCCCTTCTATCCTATTTGTCTAGTATTTTTTTTAAAAACCTGAATCAAACGTGGTATTTTTCAATACTCACTTACACTTTCCCATCAATCTCAAAATAAATCTTCAACCAAACATTACCTTAGGGTTTTATAAGAGTTATGTTGTAGGAAAAATGATTGTGTTATATTATAGAGATTCGTTTTGCGTGCGGTAATTTTTTTTTTTTTCAAAACATGCGGGTCCCACAAAATGTTATGTGTGTAGGAAATTTTTTGTGATCGTGTTAAATGATGAATACAAACCCCTTTGTTTTATATGTTAAAGTTAAAAAAATATGATGCACTGTAAGTTGAAGGTTGAAAATGAATTTTATGGACAAGGTGAATATTTCCTTTCAATAAATATGTCATTTTTAAGATGTGATAAGTTATTGTCTAGAACTTGCTAAGAATAACAATATTTTGAAATTAGTTGCAGAGTTTCTTTATGAATAAAAAACTTTGTAAAATTTTGAAGCTATAAGAGGAAAATAAATTAAAATAAAAAAGTTGGAACAATTTATTACTCTCTATCAATTATGAACATTCTATATTCAATTGATTTGACATTAAAAATTTAATTTATGCATTAAATGTTATATATTGACTTAACAATGAAAGTTCGTGAATTATATTTATACATACTTAATTTAGTATTACACATCTTTTAGATATTTCCATATACAAGTCATTAAATATATAAAAATTTGATCTTATTATAACTGTTTTTCCTAAATTGAACATATGAGTCTAATGTCCACCTTCACACATAGAAAAGATTTATAAGAAAATAGGTAAAAGAGTGATTAATTAGTTTTTCAAATAAAAAAATACAAACGGGACGGTAAGTTTAACGGGACAGTGACAATTTTATCACGCTTGGCCAAAATATTTATCAGACTGTCATGTCAACAGTAAATTTTTCCAGAATGCCACGCGGCATATTTCGCTACACTGTGCAGCGAAATATGCTTGTAAATAATTCGCTACACAGTGTAGCGAATTATGCCATGTCAGGCTGCACAGTCAGCAAAAATGACACGTGTCAAGTAGGCAGTAATTCGCTACACTGTGTAGCGAATTATGCTTAGATTACTGACTGCTTGACACGTGTCATTACTGCTGGCTGTGCAGCCTGACATGACATAATTCGCTTTCTTGTGTAGCGAATTATTTCCAAGCATATTTCGCTGCACAGTGTAGCTAAATATGCTGCGTGGTATTCTGGAAAATTTACTATTGACGTGACAAACTAATAAATATTTTGGCCAGACGTGACAAAATGGTCACTGTTCTAAGTTTGACAGTCTGAGACATTGTTTGGTTATTATTAAAAAAAATTCACTTCGACTAGGACGTTTTAATTAATATTTTAAAAATATACATTCTTTTCTTTTTTTAGTAAGATTATCATTGAAGGTAACTGATTACTCTTCCGGAAAGGCCAACGCAGTTAAGTGATAAAGGTCTTTTTCTATTCTTTTCTTTGATCGGAAATAGCGCCTTATTAGCTAACATTTTAATAAGCTAATAGTGAGATAAGAATCTTGCTCATGAGTCATGCCTTCAATAAAAGAGTATACTTGCTTGACTGCTATCAATATCCCTCTCTTGTTGGGAGAGAATAGCCTCCTCCAGGAAAAATGGAAATTTTTTCTTACCCCGTGAGTAGTTGCTTGATTTGCTTTCTTTTTGAGTTAATTGATAATTTCATATTTAATCGAAAATTTAGAACTGATAGCTATTGATTACATACTAATTATAATGTAGATTTTAAATCAAATGTATACTTGTTAAATCATTATGTAATCTTTTAACATTTGCAATGCAATAAGCAAGAATATTACATTATGTATATATAGGGTTTTATTTTATGTCACATAATAGAAATTTTATCTCCTTCTCTTACTTCGATATCCATGTTCTCTTTTTTCTCTTTTCTTTTTAAAAAAATAAAGTGAGTCCAACCATTTGTTGTGAGAATAGGAGAGAAAATTTATCTTATGTGACATAAGAAAAATAAAACTCATATATATATATATATATATATAGAAAAAATATTTCTACAGACACCTTAAATAATATTATCTACAACTATTTTTTTTTTAATTAAGTTTGATGAGTAAGACATAGTTATAATAATAAAGCTGTTACTTTTTTTTCTCTCATCAGACATTGTCGGCTGATGTGGCAGAGAGAAAAAAAAACAATTTTTATGTCTTATGGTCAAACTTAGTTAAAAATGGGTAGATGTAGAAACTTTATCTAAACTGGCTATAGAAATGTTTAACCATACATATGTCTTATTTTTTTTACAAATTACACTAAGTATGACCGGTCATACTCAATGTAGTTTGTAAATAAAAAATTTATAAATATATATAACATATATATATATATATATATATATGAGAAAAATATCCGTTTACAAATTTTTTTTACAAATTACACTAAGTATGACCGGTCATACTCAATGTAGTTTGTAAATAAAAAATTTATAAATATATATAACATATATATATATATATATATATTATTACGTAAATAGTCAACAAGAATATCAGGAACTAATGGACATTCGACTTAAAATTATAAAATAAAATGTACAAGTATATTGCATCGTATAAGTAGGGTCACTATTCAATAAAGAAAAATATAGCAATTATAAATAAATAAACACACAAAAAAACCTTAGAAGATTTTCGGGCGAGAACAATATCAAACGGTTAAATTCCTTTTTTCCTTTTTTTTTGTAAAGATTCTTCGTTTGTTTTCGGTAGGTTATTGACACAGAAATCAAATTTTACTTTCATTATATTTCGGGAAGTATGATGCATCTGTTGTATGGTCAGCTAAGCTATTACTGTTGAATGTTGTTCATAAACGACGAAAACTTTTAGAGAGGTTTCTTACCTTGGGGTTGCACCGACGACGGAGGCAGAGCTGAAGAAGATGCTGAAAATTTGAAAAAATAAAATAAAATTCCAGGATCCATCATATCAATGCATTTCACAGCAAAATACACACAGGAAAAATGGTGAATTTATGAATAAAGCAATCTTCTTGATCCCAGACCAGCAGGACAAATTTGTTTACTCAAAATTCGAAATAATTAATATTGGTTTAAACACAAAATGCAAGGGCTAGCTACAACTCCATATTAAAATTGAAATGAAAAGAGCGCCACATATATGTACATACATACCTTTGCAGATGCTGACATCGAAGTTAATACCACATGAGTGGAGAACTCGGAGAGCCTGAGCGGTGTTGGTACCAAAACCTTCAAGTACACCAGGAGTGAACCCAAGTTGGCAGAAACATATTTTATGGGTTACGTCTATAGATTTGAGTGGATTGCAGCAAGTGTCGGGTGGGTTAGTGGAGTTCATATAGTCCAAACATGGGGATAGCTGATGAGCGCAAGGTGGAACAGTTTGCGCATCTCCTATGCTAATTACACTAATTATGCCCATCATTAACACCCAACCCATCATCAACCGCATACACATGCTACTGCGATCCATTTTGTTTAATTTCTTCCCCCACCTTAAATAAGACCTTCCTATTACTCTTGTCCTCTGAATCGATATTGCTATGTTTGTTTTTTGGTGACTATGTTCCATCTTTATAAATAGTTCCCTTAATTTGCCTCATTGGAGAGAGGTTTGATTTCAGCTTCCATATTGATTAATAAAAAGATAAGATGCCCACGTCCTCACACAATTAAGATAACATAATAATAATAATTAATCAAGCTTTCAGAATGAATGATTATTCTCTTGGTTTGATTCCGAGCAATCCATTGTCCATACCATTTGTTGTTTATCGAGTCTAATTATTAGACTAAAAAATTAGAAGTTGACCTTTGATCATCTCGTGAAGGTGTTAGTTAGGCTGGCGATATTCCAAGCATGGATTGGTTCAAATGAAATAAAATCAAGGACTGGTTTTGACGTGCGTACCAAACTAGAAAATTCTAACAAGTTCTTATATACTTTCCCAAAATGGACCAACCGGAACTTGTTTATGAGACTCTATCGTTTTTGGCTAATTGTTTAATAGAATGGGAAGATATTCTAAAAATTTCCAGAGATCAGGGGTTGGTGGAAATCAAATCGAAAATATTGTGTCCTCTACATGGGCATGTTTAATTTATTGCACAACTATATATATATGTGCTCTCTAGGGGGGGGAGCATGTTTAATTTATTCTTTTGGCTGGCTCAAAAGTCGTCCGAGAGAACGTTTCATCATAAATTTATGAGAGAAAAAGGAATATAGGAAAGCCGAAACTAGCTAGGAAGAGCCGGAAAATAGTTAATGGTTGGTTGCTGCATAAAAAATGAGGGGAGAGGTGTGACTGTGATCTGTGAAACGGTGAATCCATGACTAAGTACTAACATAAACGAAAGGGAACATGGTTGGATTTGACTGATTGAATTCTATATATGATTGTGAGAGAGGTTCAGAGGTCGCATTCACTCCAGATACATGTCTAATTATTGAGCATCAAATTCGCTGCATTGATATTTGTCGAAATAAAAATAAAATCGATGCATCAATAATATTAAAATATTTTTTTACAAAAATTACATAATTATATTCTTTAATGAAGTGGTAATGCATAATTGAATAATAGAATAAAAACTTATGCTCATAACATTACAAAAGTTAAAATTAGAGTAATATGTTCAATTATAAATACTACAGTTCATATCTATTAAACTAAAAACTACTTGACATCACACGATAAGTGGATTTCGATATCCGGTTCACTATTCAGTAATTAATTGATATATTTATTTTATTTTATTTTCTTTTTTCTCTTTTAAACATAATTGGCACCTTCTTTCAATAAAACATTTGACATCTTTTACACTTTAATTATTAGGAGCGAATGAGACCAGAGAAAATGATGCACATACAAACTCTTTAATAGAAGTCAATTATTGCGAAAATTGAAAAGGGAACCCAAGTTTAATAACGCCATTAGGGTTTATTGAATTAAATTATGTATATATAATAATAATAATAATAATAATAATAAATTTACAAAATAATAATAATAATAATAATAATAATAATATCATTGATGAGCGATAGGTTGACTCCCCTCCGCATATAATACAAGATTCTTAATATCTAAGAAATAAAATTTAAAACATTAAATATATTCTGTAATATTTATTTATTTATTTTATTATTGGGTTAAGTGTTGAAGTAGAATAACTAATTCTGAAAAATAGCATGCACCTGCGCATGTTATTTTGTTGTCTAATATATTAAATTTTAAAAAATAATACTAGCACATTTTTTTTATAAACTCCATATTAGTTGTACATACAACCAATGTGAGACTATATATCTCAACACGCCTCCTCACACGAGAGCCCATTGGGCTTGAAGGGTGGACAATGCAACAACACGCCCCTCACACGAGAGCTCACTGGGTAAAGAACCTAGGGATACATCACCCCAAAAGTTAGCTCAAAGGGTGAGAGTGCCCAAGACCTTATAAACTCAACATTAGTTGCACATACAACCAATGTGGGACTATATATCTCAACACAAACATTGAATTATAGAATTAAAATTTATTATTATTATTATTATTATTATTATTATAGTGTCTGAATTAAAGTTAAATGAGATTAGTCGATTTGTTGACTATTTATGAGAAGCTTATGAGAAAACATAGCATGGTTGCTTTTCTTTAATCAATATTGAGAACCATGGAAATAGCATAGAGAGAGGGGAATGAAAGGAGAAATGAAAATGTAAATTTTACTCAGAAGAAATGAAAAATAAAAATATGAATTTTTTTAATTAAAATGAAAAGGTGTTTGATACATAGCTTATATAAACTAGAGAGAGTAATTAACTTATAAATAATCACACTTATATTTATAAATCATTGAATGACTCAGCTAATTATCCAAAGAGGATTTAGAAAGTCTTTAATTAGTTTGTGAAAAACTACTTTTGAATAAAATGTAATTTGAAAAAGGTAACTGAGTAAGAACGAATTTTGTACGAAAGAAATTATGTAGTTCAATCAGAAAAATAAATAAATTATACCAGATACATAAACCTCCAAAATGATGCGTAGTGCATTACGCCATAAAGGTCTGAGGATGGATCCAAGCACGCCCATACCCGGCCCGGTTAACCTGCGGTGAAGAGTGTTTTAAAACTACAAACTCGATTTAATTTCCGGTGTATATATACTAGAATTCTGTTTCAAAAGTTGAAATTCATCCTATAATTGATTTTTCGGGCCTAAATATTTAGCTTTTCAATATTATCATAATTCAATTTATGCACTCATAATATAAAAATATTTTATATTATTATTTAATTATGTATTCATATAATACTTAATGAACTTCATATTTTTGTTTTATTAAATTTGTAGGATAAATTTTTTAATTACAATAATACGTTAAATTAGACTTTATTATTAAACAATGGACATTTCATATTTGTTAATAACAGCTATGTGTGGACATGATTGATTTAGCAGTTTTAATTAATTTACTTTGTACCTCAATTTAAAATTAAATATAATCTGTCCAAATGCTATTGAGTTGAAACATGCTCTGAGCTGTAATGTTAACTGGACTTTTAGGGAGCGTTTGGTAGAGAAAAAAAAATTATCCGAAAATCTCAATTTTTAGAAATATAATTTTTATATTTAGATTATGATAATAACAAAATTAAAATTTAGAAAAATTCAGTTTTTCAGGAATCCCCAAATATCCCGCGTACCAAACACGCCCTATGGAAAATAATTATCTCACGTTGCATGAGATAATTATCTCATGCAACAGAGACAAAATAGTGAGGTCTACTATTTTTTCATTTTTTTTCTTTTTTTTGAAAAAGTAGTGGATCTCACACTTTTATCTCTGGTGCATAAGAGAATTATCTCATGCAACATGAAATTAATAGATACCTTTATATATATATATATATATATATATATATATATATATATATATATAGGAGTTTACATTTCTACAACTGTTGTATGTGCAGCAAATAAATACTTGTCATATATATACTTTAAAGCACTAAATGCGGGGAATCATAACCATACAAAGGATGAAAGCATTAATTATGGAAAATCATAACCATACAAAGGATGAAAGCATTAATTATGGAAAATCATAACCATACACATGTCGTTGTTGTACGTAAAGTGACTGCAGAAATGATTTTACTATATATATATATATATGACTTATTGTTTCTCAAGTTGCTTGAGATAACTTTATTTCTGGCTACTAAATCATAAACGTACAAAGATGGATCATAAAGAGAGAGAAAAAGAGAATCATAATTATTCAAAGGTGAATCAATTAATATAAGGAAATAAATAAATAAAACAACGTAGTTTTTGGTTGGACGGAGATAAATATATCTCAATCTGCTTGAGAAATATTTTTCTCATATATATATATATATATATATATATATATATATATATATGGAAATATTTTTCTTAGGTTATTGGATATAAGTTATCTTATTTTGCTAAGACAAAATTATAAGTGGGTCCCAAATATAATTGGTGGAAAAAAAAATAAAAGTGAGACCCACATCTATTATGTGTGTGTAAGATTAAATTTATCTCATGTAAAATGAGATAAGTATAACCATATATATATTATTCTGAGAGCATCATTTCTTATCATCTCATTTTTTATTTTTTTTTATATGAATGAGAATTAAACACATAACTTAATATAACCTACCTAAACTCCTCAGCATTAGACCCAGTAGCTTATATAATCTCATTTAATCATTACATGCCATGACCATTATTACTTTTATGCTTGCAGATTGGTTTTAATCAGGTTCAAGGAGGAAAATTAATTTAATATAATTAATTTTATTATAATATTAATTTAGGGAAATAATTTTCTCATGAGAAAATTTTCTCATATTACAATATTCACAATTAAAAGGTGGATTTCATTTTAATTTTTTTGTAGACCCCACTCATGTATATGTAACATAAGAAAATATTCTAATGTCAAATGAGAAAATTAATCCCCATTAATTTAATTATTTTTGTTCAAAATGTAAAAAAAAAAGGGTAAAAATTCAAAAAGGAAATTTAATTATACTAATTCAATTCAAATAAGTTTAAATTTGAATTAATTGTCCATTTTTATTAAAAAAATAATATATAAATTCGCCAATTTCATCTAAAGACATAAATAGAATTTTATTTACATTTTAAATACAGGTGTAAAAATGTATTCATCAAAATATATCAAAAATAAGTTTACAAAAAATCATTAAAATACGCAAAAACACAAATTCAAATTCTAAATTAATTGTCATGTACGTTTAAATATAATAAGAAAGATTCTAAGAAAAGTGATCAATCCAAAAAAATTGGATCTGAAAAGTCAAGTAAAATATTGATTTAAAGTACAGATAATTTTAGTTCAATTTAAATTAGATTAACTTTTAATTTTGGATCTGAAAAGTGATCAACCGAAATAATGTTTTTTTTTTTTTGTTATCAAAAAAAAAAAAATGTTTTTTTGGTTATTTAGTTTTCGGCTCAAATTTTTGGTTAGATAATCATTTATTAAAGATAAAAAATAACTCATTTAATAATATTTATTTTATCATTCTTCTATGATTAATGTTACCTAAATTTTATTTTTAAATAAAAAACATATTATGAAAGCACTGAAGATATGCTCGTATTATTGGTTATATCAATTAAGACTTGCGGGATGTCATGTCATTTAGTTTAACGTGCAACGTGTGCATATTAAGACAAAAAAAAAAAAATGACCTGCATCGAGGTGGCTTACAAATTTAATGCATTTAATACGTGAGCATGTTAGGCCCGCTAACATGTTGTTAGCTCACAACCTAATGAACTACATTCAGCAAAGTAGACCAGTGGGTTCGGCCCATGTCGAAAAAGCCAATGAAAATACAAGATCCAATGAAAAAGCCAATGAATATGGGATGATGGGAGGAACATAATTGAATTACCCTGTTAGCCTCTGCGATATCCTAATTTCCAAGTTGTAAGTTTCAACGGATAATGCACAATCAAATAGTGAAGGAAGTTGCAAGGTTGAGCGTTTAATCAGAGTGTGAGTGCCCTCCCCTCAATCTCAAATTCTCAATGGCCGCGCTTAGCTTTGGCATCGCCATGACAAGTCTGAACGCCGCTGTTGGTTGTCGTACAAGAAGCAACCGAAGCACCCGCAGCTGCAGGAGATCCACGATTTCGTGCGTTGGATGGGTAACTTAACTTAACTACTTCTCTCGTGATCTTATCTTTGCAATTTGCAATTTTATTTTCTGAAATTTTGTTGTGCCAAGGAAGGACCCCGAAGGCGTGCTTGGCCCACCCCAAACCGGCCACCTGGCTCGGCTCGAGTTTCGAAGGCGGCTCGAGAGAGATGCAGAGGCCCGCGAAGCCTTCGAGCGTCAAGTCCGTGAAGAGAAGGAGCGCCGTGAAGCCCTTCGACAAGTAATTCTCACTATCACTCTCTTTCTTATATATGCTTTATTTCTTTTATTTTTATGATTCATTCGTTTTTCTTCTTCTTATGTTTTCATTTTCCCAGTCTCGTGATGTTCCCGATACTCCGCAAGAGCTCATTGAATACTTCCTTGACACTGAAGCTCAGGATATTGAATTTGAGATTGCCAGAATGAGACCGCAGTTCGTACTTTTAAAAACCTTTGCTTCCTAATTCCTCTTAACTTAGCAGTCACTGTTCCAAACGTTCTGTTTTCTCACATCTTATTTATATTCCGTTGTGATTGACTCTTGTGTTCTGTTCGATCTTCTAGCCAAGTAACTAATTGTTTCTGCAGATTGAATGAGGAATTCTATTCGCATCTGAAGTTCGAGTTAGGAGAGCTTCGATTTGCTGTTGCAAAAACACAGGTTCGTTACTTGTGTTAGTTAATATTTCGGTTGAACGAGTCGTGCTAGGGTCTGGCCATTTTACACTGATGGTTTCTGCAGCACATGGAGGACCGATTGATTGAGCTGGAGGCTCTAGAGAAAGCCATACAGGAAGGAACAGGTTTGTTAGAATCAAAAGGAAGAAAAAACTTAAACAAAAAGGTTTTCTAGAATTTAAACAGTTGCTTAACTACTGTAACGTAAGCTCACTCCTTACTCATATCTTCTATTACAGAAGCCTATGATAAGATGCAAGCTCAACTCATAACAGCCAAGGCAAGCCTAAACAAAATCTTGACATCAAAGGACGTGAAAGCAACTGTATGTCGTGTTCACCTTCCTTTTAAGTTTGTTGGTTTTATTCAACTTGAACTCATTCTAATTTTTCTTCAATGCAGTTACTAGAGATGGTTGAACGCAATGAAATTAATAGAACTTTGTTGGCCCTTCTCGACGAAAACATAGCAAGTGCACATAGGGGCAACCAGGTAAATAGCAATTGGGAATGTTTTTCCATCTGATTAGCAGAATCCCTTTGTGGAATTGTCAATTTTGAGGCATAATAATCACAGTATCACTCAGTTGTAACCAATAACTCAGTACCCTTTTCAGAACATTTTCGTGCCACGGGACTAGAAAAACGAAAGCTCTTAACTGGCAGATTTCCATTAATTGACCTAGAACAATAGGAATATGATTAATTGTTGAACCATAACACACGAGCTTTCTGTCCGCGTAATTTGTAAGCATGCTCAGATTAGTGCTTGTATTCTGAGTTATGACATGACGAGTTTACATGTTATTTTCCTTGTTGCAGAAACAGGCTGCGGAATACATGGAGAAGCTTCGTGGGGCTGTTGTCAAGTACATTACAGTTTAATGCATATAGTACGTTTTTTCCTACTTTATTATTTTCATTTTTGCGAAATTGTGCTGTCGATAATAGTAACAAATAAACTATGTTAAAGCACTGGGATGTTGTGGTAGCAGATTTCTCCACTTTGATATAATAACATTTGAATTGTAAATTTTGAAATATGACTTGTGCGTCCTTAGTTGGAAAGTTCATGAAAATTGATTTCAAAATCACAATATACACTTCCTGTTAAAAAATATTTAGTTTTTTTTTTTTCTGTTTTTCAGTAATTTTAATGTCTCCTTCATGACTTAATTTTCCCTGCACTAGCTTAATGGATGAACCAAATGTACTTTTCTGTCAGCAAAATGGGATTAAATCGACAACATATAATTTATGTTACGACTAGATACGTTGTCAAATTTTATTTCTTTGATAATTACTATCATTTTCACTCGTACCAAGCGGACAATATGTGAGCAGTGTAAATTATATTGATCCTGTAGCCCAAGTGTGCAGATTTATTCGAATCCTTTTGTAATACGGGTATGAGATATGCAAACTGGGATCTATGTTAGTGATTGGGGTGGGTCCGAGATTGATAGAGCTTATTAGCTTAATTGAGCAGGGTAAAACTTGTTTAGTGGGTAAAAAATGAAATCACTGTGTAGCCTTACAGTCGAAATAATATATTCTTTTTATAATCATAGTCTTGGATAAGAAAGAAAAAAAATGCGTAACAGGATTATTAATTTTATGTAAATTTGTGAAAAAGAAGGTATTACTATTATTTTAGAAGAATAAAGATCACTTGTAAAAGAGGAAAATATTCTACATAAAGCCATGTAAAAAACTACCTTAAATAAATAATATTCGGTTCTATTACAATTTATTATGCATTTTTCTCTATTATAACTTAGTACGCTGGTATTAGTAAATAAGGTAAGAATCTGATTCAAAAAGACGTTGATGAAAATAATTTAAAAAAAATAAATCACTATGTGTTAAGATATGAGTTCTGGAAAATTTTTCTTTTCTATTCAACTATTTTCACCTCTTAAAGGAGGGATATTTATACAAGCGACTCTCAACAAACAAATACATAAAAATAGGAAACTATCCTAACTACTTAACAATAATCAGAATAAATTCTGTAACAAACAAAACATTCTTATCTCTAAGGAACTATAATTCAAATTCAATTTATATTTTCAACACTCCCCCTCAAGTTGGTGCATGTATATCTGTCATGCCCAACTTGTCAATGAGTCTATCAAATACTTTTACTGAAACACCTTTTGTTAGCACATCTGCAAGCTGGTCTTCTGATCGAACATGGGGTATCTGGATCACTTGATTTTCTAAGTTTTCCTTAATGAAGTGTCTATCTACTTCAACATGTTTAGTCCTATCATGTTGAACCGGATTGTGTGCAATTTCCACAGCAGCTTTGTTATCACAAAAGAGCTTCACTGGCTGATTATATTTTATCCCTAAATCAGCAAGTATGCTTCTTATCCAAAGTAGTTCGCAGATGCCATATGACATTCCTCTGAATTCTGCTTCTGCGCTGGATCTTGCTACTACCTTCTGTTTCTTGCTCCTCCATGTGACTAGATTCCCTTCTACAAAAGTGAAGTACCCGGAAGTAGACTGCCTAGTAGTTTTATCTCCAGCCCAATCAGAGTCTGTATATCCTTCTATGCAAGCCTCCTTATTTTTTGAGAATAGAAGACCTTTTCCTGGTGATCCCTTCAGGTATCTAAGAATACGATATACTGCCTTCATATGTTCTTCACTAGGAGAGTGCATGAACCTGCTCACTACACTTACAGAGTAGGCAATGTCAGGTCTAGTGTGTGACAAATATATTAACTTTCCTACTAACCTTTGATATCTGCCTTTATCCGTTTCAACTTGTCCTGGATATATGCCAAGGGAGTGATTCATCTCAATCGGGGTGTCACACGGTTTACAAGCCATCATTCCAGTCTCAGATAAAATGTCCAGTGTGTTTTTTCTTTGACACATGAATATCCCTTGTTCAGATCTTGCAATTTCTATTCCCAGGAAGTACTTCAGTTGTCCTAGACTCTTCATTTCAAACTCAGCAGCAAGTTTTTTTTCCAATATTTTCATTTCTTCTATATCATCTCCTGTTAGAACCATATCATCTACATAGACAATTAAAATGGAAATTTTACCTTCCTTTCGTTTAATAAACAGTGTGTGGTCCGAATTGCTTTGCCTATAGCCAAACTTCTTCATTGCAAGTGTAAGTCTGCCGAACCATGCTCTTGGTGACTGTTTGAGACCATATAAGGCTTTATTTAACTTGCAAACTGTATTTTCTTTTGCCTTCACTCCTGGTGGAACCTCCATGTAGACTTCTTCCTCTAAACTACCATTCAAGAAGGCGTTCTTCACATCAAATTGCTTTAACGGCCAGTCTCTGTTTGCTGCTATTGATATTAAGATTCGGATGGTGTTGAGCTTAGCTACTGGAGCAAATGTGTCTTGGTAGTCTATCCCATACTTCTGAGTGTATCCCTTTGCCACAAGTCTCGCTTTATATCTATCTATGCTTCCATCTGCCTTTAGCTTAACCGTGTATACCCATTTGCATCCAATTGTCTTCTTTCCTTCTGGCAAATTTGTTAGACTCCAAGTTTGATTACTCTGAAGTGCCTTCATTTCAAAGTTCATTGCTTCCTTCCATTTTGGATCCTCCAATGCTTCCTGCACACTGTTAGGAATAGCTACAGAAGATAATTGATCAATCATTAAAGCATATGATCCAGATATCCTATGAGATGACACTTAGCTGGTAATGGGATATTTAATTTTTGCATTCGGGTCTGGTTCATAAGTAGTCCGGGGTACACCTTTATTTTGTCTTTCTGACCTTCTTACTTGAATATCCGAATCAGAATTTGGTAAAGTGGGATCAGGAATTACCTCAAGAGTAGCTTGTGTTTCAGAGTTGTCCATAGCAGGAGATTCGGTTATGAGAGGTAGACATGGTGACCCTTCAGGTGTAGGAGGTTCTGCATGATCGGGACTGGTGTGTAGATCCGTGGCTGAGACTTCTGGGGAAGTGAGATTTTGTGCTGATGTAGGAGTTATGGTCACAGGGAAGGAAAATTCTTCTTCTCTTATATATTTAGTCTCCCCCTGAGAAGAAGGATGGAGGACTCCCCCTGAATAAAAAGCTTCGGATTCCCGAAAAGAGACTTCAAGTGTGACATGCAATTTTTTAGTTGTGGGATCGTAACAACGGTATCCTTTTTGGAATTCAGAATATCCGACAAAGATGCATTTTTTCGCACAAGGTTCAAGCTTACTGCGGAGGGGTTTAGGTACATGAACATAGGCAGTGCAACCAAAGATTCGAGGTTCTAATTTAGTGACATGAGGAATAGAGAAATAGGATTCAAGCTTCTGGTGCGGGGTGAGGAAATTCAAGGCACTGGAGGGGGTACGATTTACGAGATAAGTAGCGGAGAGGACTGCCTCTCCCCAATAGGATGAGGGAACATTCATGCCAAACAGTTGGGCCCGGACCACTTCTAAAAGTTGTCTATTCTTTCTTTCAGCCAAGTCATTCTGCTGAGGGGTATAAGTACAAGATGTTTGGTGTTTAATTTCATGGGAAATTAGAAAGTCAGAGAAGGGTTTATTTTTATATTCCAGGCCATTATCAGATTGCAGAATATGGATGGAGCTGTTAAATTGATTTTTAACCATCCTATGAAATTTCTGAAACATAGAAAATACTTCAGCTTTATTTCGAAGGAGTGAAATCCAAACCATCCTAGTACATTCATCAATAAAGGACACATAATAGTGAGACTGGGAAAGGGAGGGAACCTTAGCAGGTCCCCATACATCTGAATGAATTACTTGAAAGGGGATACAACTCTTATTGGGACTGGGGTAAAAAGACATGCGATGGCTTTTAGCCATGTCACAAACAGAACACCTAAACATAGAAGGACTGCATCTAACAAATAAGTGAGGAAACAATTTTTTAAGAGAATAAAAAGAAAGATGTCCCAGTCGCCGATGCCAAAGCCATATTGCAGAATGAGAAGACTCAGAAATTAGAACTTCAGAAGGAGAAGAGACTGGCACCTTGGTAACCGAAGCTACTGGGTGCTGGGAAGAACCATGTTTGAGGTGCAAGAAGTAGAGGTTGCCATGTCTAACACCATAGCCAAGGATCTCCTGCGTCTGGACGTCCTGAAACTCACAAAATGTAGGCCAAAAAACCACAATACAGTTAAGGTCTGATGTAAGTTTACTGACAGAAATTAAGTTAAAATCGAGAGATGGTACCACAAGGACCGAATGGAGGGTGAGGGTCTGTGTTAGGGAAATGGTGCCCTGACCAGTGATCGGGGCCGAGCCACCATTAGCGGTGGTGACAGTGGTTTTATCACAAGGAAAGGACTGTGTCAACTCAGAGGCATCACGAATCATATGATCCGATGCACCAGTATCAATTATCCAAGAGGTATTCCCAGAGTATGCAGAGAAAGCAAGAGATTTACCTAGGATTCCTTCATAGATAACATGAGCTTGAGGAGGAGTAGAGGTGTCTCCTTCAGAAGATGACCGCAGAGCCTTAGAAGGGACCTTCCTGCGGGGCCTTTTGGTGAAGTCCCACCATTCTGGGTAGCCGATTATTTCGTAGCATTTGCTCTTCGGGTGGCCTGAATCGCCACAATGGGAGCAGACCAGAGGCTTGCCTGACGAGGAATCCCTCCGCGGTTTGGAGGAAGAATGGCCAGAGGGGAAACGAGCAACCAAGGCAGAGGAGTCAGAGGAAGGAAGTGGACGATTCATAGTGATACGCTGCTGATTTTCACGGCGAAGGAACACATATGTGCCTTCCAGGTCCAGCTTCGGATCTTTCCTGAGAATCTCGCCGCGAACATGATCATATTCGGAGTCAAGGCCGCTCAGAAAAATGTAGACACGCATGCGGGCTAAGGATGAGTGCGTGTTGACCACATCGTTGACAGTGGTTGCTGAAGATGAGATTCGGTGATCGATCTCTTGGAATATGGCCAGGAGATCAGTGTAGTAGGTAGACAGGGGACGACCGAGCTGCTTCATGGAGAAGGAGCACTGATGAAGCTCGAAAAGACAGGTCTCGTCGGATCCGTCATAGAAGGTCCGAAGCGCCGCATCCCAAATCTCTCGAGCGGATTCCAAGCGAATAAACCG